AGCCTCTGAAGTTCTCATCCAGGCAGTGGCTGGCCTCCATCCAGCTACTCAGTTGGTGTCGAAAATCCTCCACCGTCGAGGTTTGAACTTACGACGTAGCTGCCTCGTAAAATAAATAAATAATTAAGTAAATAATAATAATAGTAATAATAATAGTAATAATAATAGTAATAATAATAATAATAATAATAATAATAATAATAATAATAATAATAACAATACATTTTATTTGCCGATCCGGTTACCCGAAATCTCTAAGGACGTGGCGGTCTTGGACTGAAGGATTGCGGGTTCGACTCGTACCTTGGGCATGATTGTGTCTGTCTCTGTTTATGATTGTCCATTTCATCATCATTATCATTTCACTTTATCCCCCAGGGCTAACAACTCTGGGTGTAAAAACGGATTCAGCGTGGATATGCTGATCCCCCATAAACACGTGCACCTCAATGAATATAACTGAGTCCCGGTGGATTGCACTTTCGTGTGATGTCCAATTCGTGGCAAAAAACAAAACAAAACAAAAAAACACCACCACCAACAACAGAATATCAATGTAAATTAACAAAATACTCAGCAGTTGCAAAGTTGCAACCGAAAGAGCAATTGCTTGTGCTGCAGTGAAGAAATGGCAAATTTGAATTGAGGAGAAACAATTTAGGGGAGAAAAAGTTCGAACACCTAGAAGTTATAGAATGAAATAATATTTTTTTTAATTGCCGACACATAACGTCAATCTGAATAAGATAGATTAACATGAAGTATTAAGTTTTTATGAGAAATTGTGAATGAGAATGATGTCCGAAACTAAAAAGTACAAAAAAACTATTATATTCTCGATTTAATGTTGAAATTAATTTTTATAAATGTGGAAATTCTCTAAGAATCACATTCAAAATGTTCAAGAGAGTGAACTACGTGGCACTACTTTTCACTCACAAATTTAATGATAGCTGATCGTAAATGCAACCAAACTACTCCATTAGCTTGCACTGACGATGGATCTGGTAATTATAATGCCGAATCCACAAATTACATGAAAGAACAACTTGCCTTATTGCCGTAGTATATTTCTCGAGCAGCCACAGAAAGGCAAAAACACATTTTCCCCCACGACCATCATATTTATAACCACAACAAACAAACTGCCTTCATTCCGGAAACGGCAGCTCTCGACCCTCTCCCCCACTTCCTCCGCCTTTCGAGACGCTTAATCGATAATCGATTACGTTCGATGCAAGCGCATCGCAGGCAACCGAGCCCCCGCCAGCCTTCGCTTGTTTGCACGTGCACCTGATTTCCGGGGCTGCATATATATCTCGGGCGGAGGTGGTGTAGTGGCGGCGCGGCAGCGGCGGCGCCACCTCCCAGCGCTTATCGACTTCCCGTTCCGCGCCGCGCGGCGCGGGCCCGCGTGCGGGGCGCCCCCGGCGGAAGTCCGTGCTGCGGAGGCCCTCAAGGTCCACTAGCCAGCCACGCTAATTTGATTCCAGTGGGGGATCAAGCAAGGAGGAAGCAATTGGGGAGACCTTTTGCTTATCTAGGCGTTTTGTACAGTTTAAATCTTGTACCTATAAAATTAGGAAGAAAATTATCTCTGCCAATAAAAGTATGTAACGCCAATTTGAACAAATCATTTTAATCTATTTTGACAAGTAATATTCTCATTAATTTTGTTGTGAATAGCAGTATCATATATGTAAAGAAAATATATTTTCTTTATTCTGAACATGCCGTGATTCCCACCCTTGGCGCGTGGTTAAGAGTGGTTAAGAGTGGTTGCGCGTGGTTGAGACTAAGGACCGCCAGAGGGAATGAGTGGGACGATTGCTGAAAAATATTGAAATTTAAGTTATTAAAGT